TAATAGTAATAGTAATAGTAATAGTAATAGTAATAGTAATAGTAATAGTAATAGTAATAGTAATAGTAATAGTCATAGTCATAGTCATAGTCATAGTCATAGTCATAGTCATAGTCATAGTACTAGTACTAGTACTAGTACTAGTACTAGTAATAGTAATAGTAATAGTAATAGTAATAGTAATAGTAATAATAGTAGTAAAAGTAATAGCAATAGCAATAGCAATAGCAATAGCAATAGTAATAGTCATAGTAATAGTAATAGTAATAGTAATAGTAAGAGTAATAGTACTAGTGATAGCGATAGTACTAGTGACTAGTGATAGTGATAGTGATAGTGAAAGCGATAGTGATAGCTATAGTGATAGCGATAGTGAGCGATAGTGGTAGCATTAGCATGAATAAGCGCAGTAGTAATAGTGATACTACTAGTCATCGCAATAATAATATGAATGATAAGAATTCATAATAATGCCAGCAATAGTAACATCACATTTTCCACCCCAGAGCACCAAAGCCTTCAGGCCTACCTCTGGACCCAAAGCCTCGATAGCCGGCTTAAGCAACCCCAAACACAGATAATAAAACCTGGATCAGCCCAAAACAGACCCTGCAAATGGACCCGAAAAACTGAGTTCCCCTTCGTTTCAACCCACCAAACCAACAAGAGATTTGGCACCTCAGTCTCGGATACCTCACCATCCTCCATTGCCTCCACCTTCCGAGTGAAGGAATTAGGATGTAAGGGATGTCGAGACGTTCGGAGCAGCAGCTGAAAGGGCTTCTAAGAAAATATGAATTTTGGGGTTCAGTGGATGCTCCAGCTCTGCAGAACGGCTACGGTTGAAGGTTTTGAAGGAACGCCCGAAGGATCCACCGCCCGCAACTACGACTACATACCAACCTTAGGTCCTCGTCGTACCCACGACTACTTCAGGGCCGAATCCTCAAAGATTGGCAGCTGGAATAAGGCGGTGCCTGGCATGGCTCAGCAGCCGCTTTTGTGTCGGGTGACTCCGGCGCAGGCTGGGGTGGCCTTGGAAAATGCAGGCTCCAAGGTTTCAGGGATTAGGTTTTCCCTCGGTTTGGGACTCTGAAGTTTGGGCTTGGGGCTGACGAGCTGGGTAGTGCAAGGTTAGACTCATGTTGCAGCTGCTGACTTGGGGCAAAATCCTTCAAGGCTGGGGGGCACAAAAGCCCGTAAGATCTCACAAGTTCGTTTGAACCCCATTTATACAGACTACAGTGACTACTCCTGAGTGGATGAAGGGGGTTCGCGGAGGGTCGTCACATAAGACTTGAGAATTGGGGTTGAAAAGCTGCTACTCAAGTACTCAAAACTGCATCCCGTGGATATTTTGCGGGTGTCAGAAGCGCCTTTCTGTTCTTCCAAATTCCTTCAAACGATTCTGTGGCGATGCCTCGTGAAACAACAGGAATAGACCTGCGAGGCATCTATGGCATGCACTTGATGAATCAATGGCTTCACTCCGTCTTGGAGCTACGCCGGAAGCGGCTCTGGGGCGCCTCCCTTTTAGGGAGCGGCTCCGGGATGTTGAGCGAGACCACAATCACCGCTGCGTTGTCGGCCTTTGTGGCCTTGCCGGCCGCTTCCAGAACGGCTTTTGCCGCTCCTTCTGCAGACTTGGTCTCTCGCAAGACCTTCCTGGCGGT